CTTTTTCCCGAAAACCGTTTCGCAGATATGGAAGACAGATTTGAGTTTTCTATATCCAACTTGTTATTATGAAATATATCTTGTTTGAATGGCCACTTCGAGTAGAAAGCAATCCCCTTTTAAGAAAACTCACGCATTCTATCCGATCCACAAACAGCAGTTTGCATTGATTTGGTTCCAAACTATTAAACTGCATTCCGTTGTATTCTTCAAAGAATACAACTGCATCATTCTGAAACAATTCGTTTTCCAAAAGAAAGAAAGATGGTAAATTTTGCACATACATGAGTTTTAAATTTGAGGATGATCATATACTCATTCGGAGTCGAGTCCCTGATAACCTTAATTCGTTCTATAGTCTGAATTGCTCCACCTTAAACAACAGAAATGAAATGATGTTGATCGAAAACCAAAGAAAGTACCGATAAATAGCAGAATTTCTCGGAGAGTAATTTGTGAAGGCACTGCTATCATGCAAAGCATCCGGCATTGCACTTCCCTTCCTACGCACTCATCACTGAAAGCTGAGAAATCGAAAGAAAATTAAAATGATATAAAAGCATAGTATTTCAAAATGACCTACTTATGTTTGAAAAAATGAAGAATTCCTTCAGTTTTTTCAACAAAGGGATTTCCATAATAGTAGGTCACATTGTCCGGGACTGAAGTTGGAAGTTTTACAAGAATCTCTACTACAATTTACAATTACTTACACTGCACAATCTCAGAACCAGCTTTTGAAGAGCGAGAAGACTGCGGGAAAACTTCACCATCCGAAGTGGTACTGACTACATCAGTACATCGATCTCCATCAAACGACTCGACAACAACTTCCGAATAGGTACGACGACCTCGGAAGTTAGATGATTGCTGAGGAAGCTCCTAGGAAACAAATTTATTTTACAAAATGACTAAAAGAAGGTTTAGCAGAAGAAAGATTTTACAATTCTAAATGTTAATAGGAACTCATGAACATAAGCCTCTAAAATCATAAGAGTATATAGATGTGTTCAAATTGTATAGATGATGAATCATCTTGTACTTATCAACAACAATATGTATTGTTGTTATTTATGTTCAAATTGCACATCAATTGCTTCCCGCGCTTGTTATGCACAAATATCATAAGTTCTACTCCTTGAAAGGGTATAACTCGTGGTGGAATAGAGCTAGACGAATTGAATTTGTTCTATTCGATAGAGAAAAGTGTGAGGATGTTATGAGAAGAAAGCAACCAAGGGTTACGATCACTTTGAAGGGTCGAAAAATCGCTTTGAAGTTGTGAGATCTGATAAAGGATAAGTCAAGTTGCAATTCCCCCAAATTCACATAGACATGTATGTGTATGTGTATATGAGAGTGGGCAGAGCTTACATTAAGAGATTGAAAGTGGGCGGAGTCTAAAGTCCATCGGGACACGCCCCCTTTGCAAAAAAATTCTGATTTTTCGATATGTCCAGCATTGGAGTTGGTCATCAGTAATGTTTCATTGTCTCCTGCAGAATGAATGAAGAATGAGTAAATCTCAAATCTAAATAAACTTCATCACTATCGAAAACTCGAAGATAGATAAAGCCATGTAATTCAGTCAATATCAGTCATACCTTAGACCATTCAACCTACTATTTTGGAGATATGCTAAAACCAAGTAATTCAGTCAAACCTTAAAACACAGCTAACTCGTC